GATTGGCAGTAGTGGGAATCTGCCTGGGGAAGAGGGGGCACACCTCATCAACAAGGGCACCTGCATAATGAACATTTGTATACCTAACCCTGAACTGTACCCCACATCTTTAAAATTAAAAAAATTAAAAGAAAAAAATAGCAACAACCACCAACATTCATATAACCCTCTAGAATTTCCAAAGCACACGTCACATCCACTACTTAATTTGAGATACACAGACTAGAGTTGGGTGTTATTAACCCAATTTTAGAATTTTAGAAACTGAAGTTCAGAAAGTTTAAGTAACTGTCTGAGGTGACAAGGCATGAAGAGCAGCCCCCAGGCTCAAGTGTCAGATTCCAGAGCTCTGCCCTCCCCACTTGCTGGGTCTTCTCCCTTCCACTTCTCACCCACTCTGGAGGGCCCCAGCCTACCTGGCAGGAGGAGACCAGCCAGCAGCAGTGCCATCATCCCGTGCCCTCCCACACGCCCCATCCAGGGTGCCCGAGTGGAGCCCATCTCGGACCGCACAGCCTTCTGACTGACGGCAGCTTGTGGACACACGGGTCCTTTATGCCAGGGTTGGACATTCCCTGGGCAGGAGTCACTGTGGGGAGGGGAGGAGGGGCGGAGGGGGTGGGTGCCCTGGGGAAGTTGGTGTGGCCGGGAGGAGCTGCAGTAATCAGCCTGGTGCATCTGCCTACTCAGCAGCAGTGGTGGCTACAGTGTGGGGTACCCATGACCATGGGGCCTAACAATCCTGCCACCTGACTGGCCTGGCCACGGCTTCTCATTGCCTAACCCGGAACCAGGCGCTCTGCCCCATGACCGCCCACTCTTGCCATGCAACCTGTCACTGGGTTCCTTCACTCTCCTGCCTCCACCAGGTTGGCCTATCTGACTTTCCATCCTCCCTCCACTTGCAGACATGGGCATTTCAGCTTTCCTTTCTGCTCTTGGGTACCTGCTCCCATCCTACCCCAGCGGGGTCCCATCCACAGCTCCCTGTCTACTTTTTTCCTAGGGACCCCATTGCTCGGCCTCTACTTTCCTCCTTCCAGTATGAGCTCTATCCCCAGCACCTATTCTCCCCCTGCTGCCACCAGACCAGCAACACACCTATTACATGTTCCATAACCTAGTGAGCCTTTTCCCTCTCAGAAACTCGGCATCGCATTCCCAACTCCCTGAACTCTCCCTTCTGAGGGCTCCAGGGACAGCAAGGGGGTTGCTGGGAGCCAGCGCTCAGCCTGGGGACCTCTGTCATAGCTGGGCCTCGGTTACTCACAGGCCACTGTCAGCCTCTCCGCCATGCTGGTGACCCAGACCTCACGGGTGAGCAAGAGTCTAATAAGGCTAATTGGGAAGGTGGTGGCCCTGCAGCCCATGAGCTGGCCCTGGGCTGGATGAGCGAGCAGGAGGTCAAGAAGGGCCAGGTAGCTCCTGGGTCCCTGAAGGATAAAAGGAAGCCAAGAGGACCAGGGCCCTTGGGTCTGCTAGGAGGGTGGCGGTTTGTCCTCCATTGTGTTTCCTTCCCTCCTACTTTTTTGGCCTTGGCCCCACCCCAGCCAATTAATTGCTCACTAGTATCAGTATCACAGGGTGGAACCTGGGATTGATTAAGTTACCTTTTCCTCCTCCCCCAGGCCCGCCTCAGATGCCCCTCCTCCCTTCACCCTGACAGTCCCAGAACTTGCCTGTCTCCTCAAAAAGGTAGCTCTGTCTGTGGAGCCCTGAGCTGGCCTCTTTCACTCTTTCTAGCTCCTGACTGGCTTTTAACTTCAGCCCAGCGCGAGGATGGAAAACTTCCATGTTTGTGCTGTCTGATACAGTAGTCCCTGGCCACAAAGAGCTAATACAACCATCCAAGGAACTGAATTTTTAATATTTATTTATTTGTTTATTTATGGATCTTCTTGAGTCAGTCTCGCTCTATCACCCAGGCTGGAGTGCAGTGGCACGCTGCTCACGGCCACCACAGACTTGACCTGCTAGGTTCAGGCAATCCTTCCGCCTCAGCCTTCCAAGTAGCTGGAACCACAGGCATACACCACCACACCTGGCTAGCTTTTTGATTTATTGTGGAGATGAGGTCTCACCAAGTTGCCCAGGCTGGTCTCAAATCCCTGAACTTGCGATCCTTTCACCTCAGCCTCCCAAAGTGCTGGGATTACAGGTATGAGCCACCATGCCTGATAATTTTAATAAATTTAAATGTGGATGGCCACATGCAGTTAGTGGCTACCATCTAGTCTAATCCTTGACTTGCTGTCAGCACTCAAAATGGGATGGGAAGGAAGAGGGTCTGAGGGAGCCGAGAAGAGAGGAGGTGATGAGACAGCATCCCCTGAAGTGAGCTGATGCAGGGGGGAGACAAACAAAAGCACCCGGTTGAGAACAGGATGACAGAGGTGTAAGTCCCAGTTAACCTTCTGGCTTTGGGCAGCTCACCAAACCTTTCTGAACTTGTTTCCTCATCTGTAAAATGGGGATATTTTAAGTAATGCCTGCCTTGCAAAGTTTTGTGAAGATTGAACAGGAAATTACCAAAAAGGTAACATGGGACAAGGGCTGCAGTTACTCCTGTCTTCATCTTTCCACTGGGGGAAAGCGAAGAGGATGGCTAACCCTCATGGCCCTGGGGTTTCTTCTCCGTGTCTCCAGGCTAGGCTGGCAAAGTCTCCTTTGCTCCCTTCCTGCCTTGCACAGAGTGGCAGACACAACTGAGCGACGGGCATGCCATTTAAAATGATGCTCTTAAGCCGGGCTCAGTGGCTCAGCCGGTAATACTGCGCCTTTGGGAGGCTGAGGTGAGTGAATGGCCTGAGCCCGCGGGTTCGAGACCTGCCTGGGCAACTTGGCGAGATCTCATCTCTACAATAAATCAAAAAAATCAGCCGGGCATGGTAGCACGCGCCTGTAGTTCCAGCGACTCGGGAGGCTGAGGCGGAAGGATCGCCGGAGCCCAGCAGATCGAGGCTGCGGTGGCCGGGAGTGGCCGCTGCTCTCCAGTCTGGGTGACAGAGTGAGACTCCAACTCAAAAAAATAAAAATAAAAAATAAAAAAAATAAAATGATGCTGTTTCTGAACATTCCAATTCCTCCCATCCCCCTCCCTAGACTCTCAGACCAGGCTCTCTGAAGGATTTGGGCAAAGGGAGAGGGGACTTGGGTCATTGAGGGGAGAAGAGAGGAGTGAGGAGCCCTGTGGACTAGACTGCTGGGCCGTCCCTCAGTGTGGGTGGGAAGAAGGCAAGGGAACAGCAGAGCCTGTGGCTTATCTTTTTTCTTTTCCACCACACACTTCCCCTGACCAGCCAGAGGTGGCAAAGTTTGTCTTGTTTTCTTTCTCACATTCCTCCTGGATGTCATCACATCTTGGCCAGGACAACCGGGTTGGAGGAGACACAGTCTCTCCCAGCCTTCTGCCCGGTCTCCAGTCACCCACGCAGGCTGGTGGTGCAACCACAGTCCTCCTCCTGCTGCTCTTCTCTTGTCACCTCTGCCCACCCTGTCCATGCCTGTCCACCCTGTCTACCCCATCCTGCCACCCTGGGCTAGCCAATTCCTCGACTGTTCTGCCCACATCTGGGCCCTCTGAGCTCCAATCCGCGCTCCCAGTTTCTTACTGAAATCCTATCTACTCTGCTGTATTTGACTCTGCTGCTTACCATTAACCTTTCTCTTGGCGCAGCAGTAAAGGCCTGAAGCTGATGGGGCTGAGGAGGAAAGGGAAGGAACAGGGCTGAAGGCCCACACGGGTCAGGATTCCTGTCTGTGAAGCTGCCAGTTTGATGACATCCACAGTAGTGGAGGCGGGTCCACTGTGTTCTGCAGCAACAGAGTCTGTCCTGACCCTGCCTGTGCACGCCTGGCCCAATGGACAGACCGGGTGAGAAAGTGTGGGTGGCATGGAGCGTTCCCCCATCCCTTGCCTGAGAAACCAAGCTCAAAGCACATGGCTTCTGCAGACGAGAGATAGGGATCCCTACCTGTATCATGAAAAAAGCAGGTGGCTGTTCCCTCCAGCAGCCCCAGGCTGCCGTCCTTCTGTGCGAGGCACTGGCTCCCTGGGCACGTGCCTGCGCTGCGCTTTGAACGTTGTACCAAGGAGGAAGATGAATTGTTCCTTACCCTGGAGCAGCTACAGTCCAGTTAGGGACACACAGCATAGAGAGAAGGCTACAGTAAAGATGGGGGTAGGCATGTGGCTTCCAGGAGGTGGTAGGATTTTTCCTGGGCCTTAAGGAATGATGACAGGAACAGGGAGAAGGCAGCTTACATTCAGGGCCCTGGTGGTGCTTCAGGGGTTCTTAGAATGAGTGGAGGGCTTGAGTTGGTATGAGACACAGATGCAGAGAAACAGTGGGGTGAGGGAATGGACAGGCTGCTCAGACCAGGAGAGTAGTTGACCTATAACACCAGGCTAAAGGAATGTGTGCTCTACAAGAAAAGCAGCAAGTGCAGAGGACACAGGAAACAGAGGGTTTTGAGTGGTCAGAGAGTAGGCTGGAGCCAGGCACCGTGGAGGCGCCTGTAGTCCCAGCTATTAGGGAGGCTGAGTCAGGAGGAGTTTGAGGCCAGTCTGGGCACCATAGCAAGATTCCGTAAAGAGGAGGCTTAGGCAGGAGAACCCCAGTTACTGACCGCCTTCTGCAGGTCAGACACTGTTCCCCCCTGTATTGGACATGCGTTGTCTTGTTTAATCCTCATAACAGTCCCACGGGGCAAGTGCTTTTCCTCCCTATTTTACAAATGAGAAAACTGAGTTTGAATCATTTGTCCAAACCTGCTGCTAACAAGCAAAAAGTTTGGAAAAGATTGAAACCCAGGTCTTGTTGGATTTCCAAGCCCACATAGATCCTGCATATTCTCTGCCACTGACTCCATGCTCTAAATGAAAGACAGTGTTCAGGACAGGTTTCAGGGCTTCCTTAAGCCCTGGAAGAATGTGTGCCAAATTCCTTGTGCATATGTATCTTTCTACAGAGATAATTGCTGCCTCTATCAAAGCCTCGAAAGTTATGAAGCCCTAAGTGGCCAGGCTCGGTGGCTCAGTCTGTCATCCCGCGCTTTGGGAGGCGGAGGTGAGTGGATTGCCTAAGCCCGCGGGTTCAAGACCCGCCTGGGCAACTTGGCGAAACCACATCTCTACAATAAATCAAAAATTAGCCAGGTGTGGTAGCGCACACCTGTAGTTCCAGCT